TGATATATGCAAGAAATAAGGAAAAGCCAATATCACTTTTTATTCAGAAGCTAAAAGAAAGTGATACAAAACAGAGTTGTTCTTATTAAAAGAACAATACAAGATCAAGTTCACTCGTTCACTAAATTAAAAGAAGCAAGTTGAGCTTTGACGTCAGATAGCTTTTCCTCGTGGTTGGCCCGCACGATAGCTTCTGCCTTCTTTCGCAGCTCATCCTCAGTTGGTGCTACTGCAACGGCTACCTCCTTCTTCGCTCTTTCAAGAGCCTGAGCTTCTTTATGATAACTTAAAAGAGTGTTCGCATTTTTGGCACTAAGTATATTGACAATGGTTTCTTCACGAGAAAGTTGAGCCTTCAATCTCAGTACTTCTGCCTCAGCTTCAACGAGCTTTGTGCGAATGAGGTCCAGAGAAGCAGTGGAGAGCTCCACTTCTTTTTGTCTCAGACCGTTCTGCTCTTGCAAGCATGTAACTTGAAGCTCTTTCTCAGCTAGATCCCGCTCAATTCCCTCACGGTGAGCCACTTTCTCAACTTGAAGGTCAGCAAAAGTAGACACAATCTGTGTCTGAATGTCTACGTGACCGAGGGCTTCTAAGTATTTGAACTGTGCTTCTAAGCGAGAGATGGCTTCCGAACAATGTTCAAAGCATTGAGCATCACCCAAAACTTTTGATTCGATTCAAGCCTACTGCTAAAAGAGACTTAAAGGAATCAAAGCTGCCCCGACCAGCCCTGACAACTTTAATCACTTTCTTTGCAAGACTATTCAAATAATTCAGGGAGATATGAAGGAAGTCAGGAGCATCTATTGGACTAGAAATAGTAATCGAAGACGGCTCCAGGGTCCCGGAAGCGGGTGTATCAAAGTGTATGCTAACAAGTTTTTTTAGTGTAGAAGTCGCAGAAGCAAAAGAAACATCCAAGTGTGAAGGACTTGATGTCAAGGCCATCATGGCCCTCGCTTGAGATGGACCTGGCACACTGACAGCCCCTGTTGGTACAAGCGAGATCTTCATCAATATTACCGGTGGAGTAGTTGTCATTTGATAAGCTAGCCGAAGGTTGCTCTTGCAAAGGGGTCGACACATGCACAAGCTGCTGTTCCGGAGGAGGAGTCACGACAGTAGTCTTAAGAGTGGGCGAACCTGCATGGAAAAATAGTTGGAACGCGGAAGGAAGGTGTAGGGGAATTTGAAATAAACCAGGCTTATCGGTGATAGAAAAAGCAATATGGGCAGACACTTTATCTGACGCAATCTTAGGGGAGTCATCAAAAGTTGTGATGTCGTCCATAGAATCATGCTCTTCATCCTCTTCATCACCACTTCTAACATTATCAACATTAGCACTCCCATCACCTTCATCGCCATCAACTGCATCACCAGTCGAGGAGGCTTCATAATCTACTTCCTCTTCGTCATCATGCATAGCTGAAGACTCAGGTAGACTTGTGACGGTAGTCAATTTAGTCATGAGTCCCGTTGTCAGACTAAGTCTTAAATCGCCAGCCTGTGGCATTAGAGCTGAAGGAGGATGGGATTGATTCTCTTCGAGGCCCCTTGGTTCTAATACAGGAGCCTTAGGAGAGCCTACTACCAAAGTAGATTCCGCATCTGTAGTCATTAATTCACCCTCTTGGTCTTCAGGAGGATGATAAGAAGAAGCCTCACTCGACAGAGCTAGACTACTTGAACGTAGCACGGTCCTGTGTTGAAGGCCCGCGACTGAAGACTCTTATTGTTTTTCTTCTTCTGTAGACTTAAAAGCATATGCCATCAACTTAGGCTTCTGTTGGCCTTCAATGGGAGAAGACCTAATCGTCAACTTTCGGCGAGCCCGTTTATCGTATTGGCCTGTTTCATCTACCGTAAGAGCCCTCTTTCCAGTAGCTCTTGTTGCGGGAGTATCAACCACTTGGGGTTCTTCCGCCTGAATAGGCTCAGCTGCTTGTTCCTCCTCTTGCCCAGCAGGCGAGTCCTCAAAAGACAAGTACTCGTTAATGCCTCTTAGGCGAGACGTCTTGGATCCTCTCCGAGAAGCATACATACGTCTGATTTCCTTCAAACAAGACGTATTCAGATTGTAGCTAGAGACCTAAGAAGTAGTAGAATACCAGTTGTAGAAACCCATAGAAGTGTAAGAGTTAGGTGTTTTGTGGGGGAGCTTGAAGACTGCTTTGGTACTGTAACCAGCCACTAAATAGTACCAGGCCCTCGCTCCTTCATATAGATTGCCCACAGTTGCAAGTTAAGGTTGAGCATTCCCAATGTATAGCTGGTCATACCCAAATTGACGAGCAAACCTATATGGTTGATAAGGTTTAATGAAACACTTCCCGCCTTGTCGAAAAATCAAGTAACCTGGCCTGATGTAGAGTAGCCAACGGAAAACATCCCCATTCAGCTGAGTGAATCCGTTAAGACCTACCACATCCTGGAACGTTGCTCCGTATACCCCACCTTCAAAATTAGGGAAGCAACGGAAGATGTGATAGTTAGTATCCCTTGCCAAAATCTTGTTGGCCCTTTGGTTTTGATGATGATTTGCCAAATAATTTATGACTAATTTGTTTTCTAGTATTTGTGGCTTGTTTTCCCTTTTAGGAATTCTACACATGGTGAAAAGCTATATACATCAAGAGTTAAAGATTGAAGACCATGTGTGCGCTTTCCTTTAAGTGTAATCATAAGCTTGTTAACGTATATTGTGTGATTATATTTAAAGCTCAACATATATGCACACACAGTTTGTTTTTCTTCCTATGAAAATGATTTTTGCCAAAACATCGTAACAATAGTTAATGTTTCTGTAGGGTGAAAATTTGATTTCCCGAGAACAGGGAGTTTCGTTTGTATTAATAAGAAAGCTTATTACAAACTAATAATCAAATATTTACAACAGAAGCAGAGGGAATGCCTTCTTTGTTTTGTGTGGGGTCTTTAGGTGGCTATAGGACGCTTCGCTCGATGCTCGTGTCGAGTCTGCTTCCCTTGGACCGTTTGATCGAGGTTACTGGAGAGCTTCAGTACTCGGTAGAAGCTCGAGTCGAAAGAGTTCGGGTCTGCTTAGTTCGCCGGCGATCGGAGCTCGGAACTAGGCAATGGCGCTGTAACACAAGGGTTATGCGAACAGCTTGGTCTCAACTCCTTTCTCTGAGTTTTTCTTTGACCTCTCTCAAAGCTTGCTGGAAGAGGCTTTTAAAATGGAAGAAGGACAGCTTGACTTCTCCTTGATTGACCTCTCTCAAAGCTTGCTGGAAGAGGCTTTTAAAATGGAAGAAGGACAGCTTGACTTCTCCTTGATTTATGGGATGTGACCATACGTTGTTCGGAGACGTCCCGTTGTTGCTTCGTACCGTCAGCGGTCATTCGAAGAGCTGTGCTCTGTATCATGTTTCGTAAGAGTGGGAAAGCCCCTCCTCGTATGCGTGACAACGGCTGTCAAATGCTTGCGTGGCTCTGACCAACCACCGAGCGCCGGCGGCTTTCGTCACCTCACTTGGACAACTGAGGTGAGCCGCATTTATGAGGGCGCAAGCTGTTTCGACACCTGTCCGCTCACTTGTACCGCAGGCGGCTATTCAGCGGGCCTGGAGTACTGTGTCTTCTTCTCTTCAGGCAAGAGCGGCGGGAAAGCACGTCTCTGGCACTCGAGTGGGTTTGGACAGTTCGCCGAATGCTGGCGGATCCGTCTTCTGACTCAGATAGCCGAGGTGAGTCACATTTATGACTGTTCAGGTCGACTCGACACCCGTCCAGTCCTTCGTACTGTGCGTGCTGTGAGCTGCCGCTTGATGGTCTTGGATTATTGTGCCCTCTCCCTTCGGGTCGAGAGAGAGAGATGGGAAGGCCCCTCTCAGCACGTGGGGTAGTGGATACGGGCAGCCTTGAGGTTTGCAGGCGGATTCGACTTCGGACTCGGGCAGGCGAGTTGTGTGAAGGGCGAATTTCCGCTATCCCAATTAATTTCAACTCGTGCAGGCGAGCCGATCGTTAGGCGAACCTAGAACCGAGTACATTTGACGTCTACACGGTTTAGGCCCATGCTAGAGAACTGAGCGTGCGAGTTCTTGAATTTCCTGTAAGCCCATGGAGGTATTTTTTACCGTCTACAAGACCCCCTTCAAAGTTTTCAGACCTAAACCGGCTCGTGTGTGGTCTGGAATACTTTGAATGAAGAAATTCTTGGCGAAGCAAGCGCATTTGATTTCTTTTAGGATTTTAGCAAACCCTCAGCTATCAACGGGTTTGATGTGCCTTTACCGATTACCGTTTGAATCGGGCTAGCCATACTATTTCCCTCAGTATGATGAGTTGCTGAACAGTTTCTCTTAGGCTTAATGCTAAGACTTCTGCTCTAACCCTTAGCCATCTGAGGCGTGGGTTTAACCGTTTAAGCGAGGTCATTCTATTGGCTCCGTTTGTAATTTTACCTTTAAGGGCGAATGAATCGTCAAGGCAAAATTAGTCTTTGGGAGCCAAATTTCGTGCGACTCGTGGGGTCGGGCCAAGTATTCGTAGGCGAGACCCCCCCCCCTTTTTTGGAGCAGAACCAAATCTGATAGGAGATGAGCCACGTGCTTGCCTATAGGGCTTCGTGCTTCCTAGCTAAGGCGGCGCGGTCTCGTCGGGTCGTGGTGATCGTGACTCGACAACATGATGTCAGCTCGTGTGTTTCGCCCCACGACGCATCGTGGCCGTGTTTTCGAACCCGGCCGCTAGATCAAGTCGTGGTTTGGTTCGGGTTTCGCGGCTTTGACCGGCCCGTTCCCCTTTTCAATGACTCTTTCGCAACTGTAGAACGAGTTGTGAAGGACAATCTGGGCCGTCGATTTCGATCGTGGCCACGTCTCTTGAACACGATGTGTCTCGCTTTGCAAATGCATCAGAGCCACGCAAGCCCTTTCGCCTTTAAAATAGGTTTCGTCCTTTTCCTCTTTTTGAAAAGTTACTGGTGTGCGAAAATCTGCCCAAAGAGAAAGAATTCCCGCTTCGTTTCAATGGCGCCGAAATCTAAGAGGTGTAAAGTGCAGGGAAAGGGGCCCGGACGCTACTCCGATCGCCTGTCCGCCGGTGCGACCGCCGATGTGCCTGAGGCGCGCTCGGGTAAGTTGAGAAAGTTTGCTTTAACGTTCTCATGTTGGTCACCGCTGTCGTGCCAGGAAGATGAGTGCTGCTCATTTTGCCTTGGTGGGTTAGGCAGTCCCCGTGATTTTGGTAAAACTGCCCCTTTCTAGGCGGATTTTACCTTCATCTGCGTTTGGGCGATTCTAACCTTTATGGGCGAGATTGGTCTTTATCAGGCGAAGGTGAACTCGTCTTCTGACAGGCGAGTTCGACTTTCGTCTAGTAAAGGCGAACATGGCTTATGCAAGCGGGTCTCGTCATGTCGGGCGCATTTCGCTCCTTGACAGGCGGATCTGCATCTGGGCCTCCTGAATTTTTCTTGACTTTGTTTTGCAGGCGACCTTTCCGACCAAGCCCTCCCAAAAGGCGTGGCCACCGGTTTCGCCAGAGGTGAAGGTAATCCAGCACCTCCCCGATTTCTTCCTTGGGTCGGTGCCGCGTTTCTCCGCAGATAAGCGTGGTTGGCTCGACAAGGAGAGTCACCGATGGGCACCACCTGACGCTGCGTGAGTTGACCACCTGACGCTGGCGTGAGTTGACCACTGACGCGGTGTTGACAGACGAGGACAGGGCGGAGCTGTCGAAGCCTCAGTTTTTGGTTTGGCGGAGTTTTTTATTTTGTTATTCTGTCATCGATCCTTCCCGCCATTGCTGTCAACGAGCGCAAAAAAAAGAATTGGGTTTTGTCGTATAGTGGAGGGGACTCACTATTACCTTCCCGTCATGCCGAGGGGGTTCTCGATCGTCGGGCTACGGTCTTTCGCGGTCCCTCGAGTGATGAACTGGGACTTGACCCCCACTCAGGACGGGGTCACCTGTGGTGTCTTTACAGGCTCCACGACGGGATATGGGGTGGAGGGCTCATGTAAGCGCGTGACGGGTCTGCGCCCTGGCCTATTGTCTAACGAGCCGCCTGCAGGGGAGTCGACGGCGGTAGCAGAGACTTTCCGTCACCGCTTCTTTCGAGTAGGTGGGAGTTTTCCCCCAAAGGACTTCAGAGCCCCGGGGTGGGTATATTCTGCGCCGGGCAGCGATACTTGGTGGTCCAAGATCACCGATTGCATATTGGCCGA